CGTGGTGGCAGCGGGGTGCCCCATTAGCTAAAGTGGTGCTTCAGGTTAAGAACAGTTTCAGGTTAAGAACGGACCTCCGGAACGAATTAAGTACTTAACCCGAGGTACCACTGTATAGACTTTTGAAATTGCCACCCTGTAGATCAAGACACAGGTGACGCTGTGGTCTAAACCACTGAGCCTAGGGCTTGCAGATCGGAAGGTCGGCGGTTCGAATCCCCACGACGGGGGTCCCAGCTCCTGCCAACCTAGCAGTTCAAAAGCACATCAAAGTGCAAGTAGATAAATAGATAAATGTTGCATTCCAAAAGCAAGGAAGGATTGGACTCTGATTAATAAAATACACACGAGGCTTGCCCAGCAAGACTCTGGGAGGAAGTGCCAATAATAATTTGTGTACCCCTTGGCCCAGATCGTTTTATTCACAAAAGAACTTTTTACACAGTGTTCGTAAGAACCAATCAGATTTCCTCTGAGCATTTCAAAAACCCCACGTGGGACAAAGTCAGATCAGAAGAAATCCTTTAAACTACAAAGAAAGTATTTCCTACTTGAGCATGTATACGTGGTTAAGCTAAATAAACAGGAACCAAGGAGGAATGCATTTAGTACCCCGGAGGTCATAAACCCATAGGAAAGAAAGACACATTTACCATCCCCCTGTAAACTCTGTTCCTGGCTCTTAAAATCTATCTGAAGATTAACAAAACTAACAAAAGCTACATCAAAGCTACCTTCTATCTTTATGGCCCAGGATGCCTGGTGAACAACTGGCCTGTGTTTAGAATGCTTTTACTTGCCTGTCAGGCGTAGAGAAAGAAAATGGCAGAGGTGCAGGCTTGTGGGATTCGATCAGAAATTACTGTCAATGACTCAAACCCAGTCAAGCAATGCTTTCAATGCGACACAATGGCTTGTTCCATTTTTCATAATTCCTCATAGCAATCCCACCTGACCCCCACATACTGCTCCGGCGGGAAGGTAAACAGTGTTTCCGTGCACTGCTCTGGTTCGCCAGAAGCAGCTTAGTCATGCTGGCCACATGACCTGGAAGCTGTCTGCAGACAAACACTGGCTCCCTCGGCCACTAAAGCCAGATGAGTGCTGCAACCCCAGAGTTGTTTGCGACTGGACTTAACTGTCAGGGTCCTTTACCTTTTAGATCAAGACCACCCCACAATACATCATACATACATCACAGAAGGGGCAGTCTACAGCAGAATCCTGCCTGGCAGAAAACTTGTTAATCAGTTTACCTGGACAGCCTGGCCATTCTTTTGTGATGATATATATACTTACCGTCATTCCTGAGTCCAGGTCACAGGCTCACCCTATTCATACCCAAATGTGCCCTTAAGGCAGGATTTGTGAGCACAGAGACAATGGTGAGGCTTTTCCCATTTCCATCCGAACTGCGGAGGAATATTTGAGGTCACTGAAAGAGTCAAAATGGCTTTAGGACTGTTTCAGACATGTGGTTTATATATTTATGTATGTGTTTGCCTGGTACTTTTATGAACATTTATTTTATATCTTAGACCTTATAATTCTCACAACACCTTCCTTGTTATAAACAAACTGGGGGTGACCAAAGACTGGGCAGTCAGTGCATTTAGTAATGCAGCTCAAAAGTGCCACCACCTTGGGTGGTTTTTGCTGTTGCAAAAAATATCCCCTTGCTGGCTGGCTGACAGTGGCCTGATCACACTCTGATCCTTAAGTCCATCTCTCAGCAGAGTTCACAAGACTAGGTGTATTTTGTATTTGCCCCCCCGAGTTTCTTTTTCTCCTTTGCTGCTGAGCTCTGCAATCCATCAAGCGCATTTCAAACTGCGATCCCATCCTCTCCGTAGGGCTTGCATCCCCTCCCAATTTGTCCCACCTCTCTCCCCTTGTTCTTTCTTCCCTTTCCTAGCATTGCATTGGGGGAGGAGGCTTCTTCCCAGAAGCCAGCCCTCGGCAGTGCGGCGACTTTGTCAGCTTCGACTGGGACGGATACGGTACTCACAAAGGCTGGAGCGCTTCCAAAGAGATAACGGAGTCTTCCGTGCTGATCTTTTACCACTGATTCCAGCAGAGGCCGGTGCTGCAGAAACAGATGCGTCAGAGCCACAACTCTGAAGACGAGAAACTTCTATTTGGGGGGTGCAGCGGGGTTGGGGAACCTGGAGCCTTCTGGGGGCTGTTGACCAGCATGGCCAGTGATCAGGAATGCTGGGAGCCGCTGCAGTCCAACAACAAGCCCCCCCCTTAAAATAATGTTTATTCATTTTCCATTAAAAATCAACCAATTATTAACAAATCAAATTCCCAACCTTGAATACAGAAACCTCAAAGGCAATAAAATTGTAAAAGCACTGCATTGAGATAGTCCCTGTGGGGTTTGTTCTCTGTGTGACCTAAGGAGATGCATTCCTTTGGAGAGGGCTTCCGGGTGAACATCGCCCTAACCTAAGAACAGCTTGGCTGCTGGATCATGGGTGGCCCATCTAGTCCAGCCTCCTGTTCTCACAGTGGCCAAGCATCAATGGGAAACCCACAGGCAATTCTCTTTTAAAGCCATCAAGGTGGCGAGCACCCCTGCCTCCTGTGGGAGGGAGTTCCATAGTTCAACGTTGTGCTGTGTGAAGGACTTCCTTTTCTCTGTCCTGAATCTCCCAGCACTCAGCTGCATTGGAGGTCCACGAGTTCTAGTGTTACAAGAGAGGGAGAGGAACTTTTATCCATCCACTGTCTCCACGCCATGAATAACTTTAGACACTTCTATCGCATTGCTTCTTACTTACCTTTTCTCTAAACTAAAAAGTCCCACACGCTTTTCTTCATATCAACCCCTGAATATCCACACAGGAATTTTATCTGCTGATCCCAGCTAGACTTAGTGAAGGGTGTAAGAATCACATCATCATCATCATCATCATCATCATCATTATTAATGTTGCACTTCTGACACCAGTGTTGCATGTAGCCCAAACTCTTGAGTAGCCAGACTCTAGGTGTGCCTGCATTTACCCAAGGTCCAGTTTCCTTAGAATGAAACCAAATAGAGACCATGGTATCTTTGGGATATATAGTTTTATTTATAGTACACATATACAATATATAACCTGCTCTCAGCGTTAACACCTCAACAGATCTTTCTTCCATGTTAGGGTTCCAGGGAAGCCCCAAGCCACAGCTTGGGGTCCAGGAGACAGCAAGACAATATCTCTGTCTCTCCATATTCCAGCATCAACCCAACTCACACACAATTCCCCACTTTGTCCTATTGGTCTCCATATTAGGGTGACGGTGGCATCCAGCCAGGTGGAGTGGGAAAAGCCCACTCATTTGTCTCTATGGCAACAGAGCTCACTTGGTTAAGATGCAAATGACAAGTACTGTACTTAGCTTTCCTGGCAAAGATACTCATAGACAGAGGATCACAGAGGCCCAGGGTATCATTCAGACTGACCCCCCCCCTCACTCTAGCTAAATGAGGGGTGTGTATTTGGGTTAAATGTGGGTCTGAAATGGTAGGAGGCGACTGGCCCCCACTGGCAGCAGCTCTCCAGAGTTTGAGGGAGGGAGTCTCTCGCAGCCCTACCTGGCAATGTCAGAATTTGAACCTGGTGCCTTCTGCAATGCAATGGGGAAGCGCCACCACTGAGCTACGCGTCTTCCCCTAAACTTGGGAGATATGAGTTCTCTACTGTATTTAAAAGGACGGGATAGGTTCTCACTAGAAACATTGCTTAAAGGGGAACCGCCTGGGAGAAGCTTAAGCTTCTCAAAGTGGAATGAAAGTGGAAGAGAGATGTTTCAGCCAGCTGCCAGACAGAATGGCAGGAGCCTCAAAGTTCCGAAGAAGCGTCAAGACGCAGGAGGCGCAGGATTGGCCCAGGGCGCAAGTGGGTGGGTTGTCAGGGTAACAGTGACCCACCCTCCTTTGTGACATCTTATTTTTCTGATCAGGGTGGGAGTTAGAAGCGAGGTAGTTAGTATGGGAGAGAATAGAAGAGGCTCTTGGTTTTGATGTTTACACACACACACACACACATATATATATATACACATTTGCTTGCTTTTAAAATGCCCTGTTCATCATTTCCAACGTGCTGAGAAAGATATTCTGCATCTCTCAAGGTGCCTCCAGGCTAATGCATCAATACCCCCACCTGCCACCAAGATCTGTTCCCCCGCCCTTGCACTTTTAAGAGCATAAGGCGAGCCTGTTGGGTCAGGCTAAGTGGCCCACCTTGTCCAGCATCCTGTTCTCACAGAGGCCAACCAGGTGCCTTATTGAGAAACCCTAATCCTCTTTTAGTGACACGGGTGGCGCTGTGGGTTAAACCACAGAGCCTAGGACTTGCTGATCAGAAGGTCGGCGGTTCGAATCCCCCGACGGGGTGAGCTCCTGTTGCTCGGTCCCATGCTCCTGCCAACCTAGCAGTTCGAAAGCAAGTCAAAAGTGCAAGTAGATAAATAGTACCGCTGCCGGCGGGAAGTAAACGGCGTTCCGTGTGCTGCTCTGGTTCGCCAGAAGCGGCTTAGTCATGCTGCCACAGTAACCTGGAAGCCTGTACACTGGCGTCCGCTCCGGCCAATAAAGCGAGATTGAGCGCCGACAACCGTCCAGAGTCGTGCACACTGGACCCTAAATTGGTGAAGGGTCTACCTTACCTTTTAATCCTCTTTTAAAGCAGGTTGGTGGCTATACAATCTGCCACTGCGGGAGGGAAGTTCCGACAGTTACCGGGCGTTGCCATAGTGTTTTTCCTTCGGAGGGCAATTCTGTGCCAGGCTCCCTGAGCATGCGTGTTGGGAAATGTTTATTCTGTACCTACCGTTTGTTTCGCTATTGGGGCGCAAAGAGAAATCATCGAAGGACGGAGCGCTTCAAAGCAGCCGCGAGAGGGCTCTCTTCTAGCCTTTGCCGGCGAACTGCCTTTTGCAAAGGTTTCAACCCTCCCAGCCAAGAATATTGCATTGTCCTTCCGCAGCAGGCTTCCTGGGGGCTGCCCTTAGCCGGGAGTCGGCTTCACTTCCTGCCCGAAACTTACAAGCCCCTAAAACAAGGGATCGTGCAATGCACAGGTTGCAACAGCCTTTGCAAGGGGGGAAAAAACGGGTCTCCTGTTCCTTTGCAACCTCTGCGTGCAAATGCCGCGGAGCCTTTTGCAGCGTAGAGGCAGCATGTTTCAATTTTTCATGATAGTGAATTTCCTCCAAGCAGCCAGGCTGAAAAGCCTCTGAAAAGCCTCGCTCCGATGCTGGCTAGGAGGGCGAACATGAAGAGCATCACCAGAGTGGTGGTTTACCTGTCCAAAGAGAACAGCTGCCCGCAGCGCGCCAGGTTCCAGCAGGTAGCGACGAAAACTGTGTGTGGGTCTGTCACTTGCTGTCCTCTCTTGGGCTTTTGTGGAAGGATCCGGGTGATTTGCAGGCAGATGAGATCCCGCATCCACACCAGGCATTTAAAGCAGTGGATCCTGGGGTGATTCCCTAAAGGCCACGGCAATGGATTAAGCCAGGGGTTCCCCAACATCTGGGTGGCCTCTTGGTTCCATAAACTCGCCCCCAGTGCCCCCTACCCTGTAAAAAGAACAATTCAGAATTGCAGATTGCAGGACTCCCTAAAGAAAATAATAGCACAAGAAAATTGAACACAGTAACAAGTATTTCCACACTGGTTCAAAATTTAGTTCAACAAATCGATTAACTTGATCCAACAACAGCAGCTTTTTATTATTATCATTATTTGAATTTATATATATATTTATATATATTCATATATTTGAATTTATATTAATAATATATAATTATATATTATATATACCCCAAGGTCTCAGAGTGGTTCGCAGAAAAGATCAACATAAAAACCACAATATATATATAATCAAAATAAGAACAACAACCCAATAACACCCCCCTCACAAAAAGAGCCACTTTTCAAAAGGGTATAGGATGTCAATCAGGTGAATAAAAGTCTAATAGTAATTTACACCCCCGGAACTGCAGCATCACCTACAGTCTTAATTGGACACCACCCCCACCCTAAAAAATCTTGTATACAGTATTATGAAATGGTTACTAGGGTTTTGTTTTTGTTTTTTGTCTGCTTCTCCCAGAGCATCGTTGGCCACTTTTGCACAGGCGACGAAGACAGCTGGATGGTGAACTGCGCTTTGGATCAGCGCCTGGTTCCTGATTTCTGACAGGGGAGTTTGCTGGCTCCAACAGGGTCCTCTTGCAGGTTGGTGGGGAGATGGATGGGGTTTCCCAGAACTGAAACACTCTTTAAAATGTTCAGTTCTGCTTCTTTTTTTTAAAGACGCCTTCTTCCATTTATTCTCACCCAAGTTGCTAACTGTGACCCCTCTTTCTTTCTTTCTTTCTTCTTTCTTTTCTTTCTTTCTTTTTCAAGGAGAGAATAAAAATATAAAACCAAAACATTTGTTAAATTACCTTCTTATTGCGCCTGTCTATCGATTGCCCAAAGATGGAAAACTTTTGTCTCAAATCAACACCTCCCTATGGTGGAGTAACATATGGAAAATAGCATTACACCTGTTTTTGAAAGAAAAAAAATTACAGTTGTCCTCTTCCACACGTCTCTAGAAATTTGTGATAAGTAACATCCAATTGGTTGCAATAAATTGGTTAACATCTAATTGGTTGCAATAAATTACATTGATGTAATTTAGAACCTTTTATTCTTGGTACTCCTTGTGTCTCTGGTGATTCCAGTTATAGGTTTTATGTTTCTGTATCTCTGGCAAGTCATCTCTGATTCCCTCATTTCTTATGATGCTGCTCTCCGTTACCTGTCACAGGTATCTAAGGATAACCCAGCTTTTATCGTTCTTTCTTGCAAATGTAGCATCCCAAGCTAACCTTGTTCGGTTTCGTTTATGTGTTTGTCTCATGAAGAAAGGAAAAGATAAAAAAGAGACCTTCTTCCACAGAGACCGCCTTTCTGCCTATCAAAACACCTGACGGAGGCGCAGCTTCTTCCCTCCCTGCGGAGACCCAGGAGCGAGGGGTGGATGTGGGCGTGGCCATCCTCCTGCAGTCGGCCAATCAGAAAGTGTTGCATGACAAGGCGGTCCAAGACTCTGAGCATCTTCCCCAACATTGGGTCCCTCCAGGTGAGAGTTGGAGGTGAGGCAGGGGAAGGGAATGTGTTTGTGACACCGCAGTTAGAGAAATTAGAGGTGGATAAGGGATGAGGATAGCTGCCATGCTCCAAAGGCAGAATACACAGTCATCCTACAGCCGGACCCTACAGGTGGTCCACAGGAAGGTTGAGAACACCTGTATTTCCCCTGCAGTTTGTATCCCCATCCCCAACCCAGGTAAACTGGGATTGAGGCTCTTTAGACTAAGCCTGTATGCTTGAACAGGCCAGCCAAGGAACCTTACCTGGGGCCCCTGATTTTCATAAGAAGTGCTTTGAATTTTTCTTTTTCTTCTTTAAGACCAGCAGTATACAGTGGTACCTCGCAGACGAATGCCTCGCAAGACAAAAAACTCGCTAGACGAAAGGGTTTTTTGTTTTTTGAGCTGCTTTCGCAAGACGATTTCCCTATGGGCTTGCTTCGCAAGACGGAAACGTCTTGCAAGTTGTTTCCTTTTCTTAACACCGTTAATACAGTCTGGACTTGACCTTACGAGGAGCAACTACGTAGAACGCGGTGTGGTAGCCTTTTTTGAGGTTTTTAAAGACTTTGGTGATTTTTTGAAGCTTTTCCAAAACTTTCCCGACACCGTGCTTTGCAAAACGAAAAAAATCGCAAGACGACAAAACTCGCGAACGAATTAATTTCGTCTTGCGAGGCACCACTTTATAAATTTTACAAAATTAATAAAAGAAACAATACACATTGGCTTTGAGCTGGACTCTGGGGCTGAAGGACCTGACCCATTAGGTCCAGTCATGGCGACTCTGGGTTGCGGCGCTCATCTTGCTTTAATTGGCTGAGGGAACCGCCAGTACAGTTTCCCGGGTCATGTGGCCAGCATGACTAAGCTGCTTCTGGCGAACCTGAGCAGCGCACGGAAATGCCGTTACCTTCCCACCGGAGCGGTACCTATTTATCTACTTGCACTTTGATGCTTTCGAACTGCTAGGTGGGCAGGAGCAGGGGTAGTATATCTTTATCCCCATCGTGCATGCCGGAGGGGCCGTACATCCTGTGGAAAGCTGCCCCCCCCAACGTTTCACCCCCTTTCCTTTGTGTCCAAGAGCTGAGACGGCAACTCCGAGAATGAAACGCTGAGCTGAGCGGTGGGCTTACAGGGGGATCGAGCCTGTCAGAAATAAATTGGCATGGACCTTTCTTTTCCTTTGCAGGTGGCCACATCGAACAGGACGAACAGGTAACGAAACAGCTTGCTGTGCTCTGGAAGGAGAGGAAGTACAGAGGCAACCTGTGTCAGGGGAAACCAGGCTGGGAGGAAATAAGTTTATTTATACCAGGGAGGGTCAATGTGGTTCCTTCTGCATGTTGCTGGACTACGCCACCCATCAGCCTGGCCGAGTCAGGGGCTGATGGGAGTTTAGTCCAGCAGCATCTTCATGTTGGCTACCTGCAATTTATAGAGATTCTGTCCCATCCTTTTGTACCTCAGAGTGGCTTCTATCAATCTGAATTTGTTTTTCCTTAAAAAAAAGGGAGTTTCAGGATCTGCTCCAAACCTGTTTTTCTGCTCCTGTAGTTGCTGGATACTGGGCTGAGGGAACTGGGGGAAGAGACAGGCCTGTGGCTTGAGGACCGGGAGTTTTCCTGGCGCCCGCTGGCCCTGTGGGAGGTAAGAGTCCATCAAGCACCCCAGAAGAGCTGAGGTGAATTTGGGGTGCCTAGAAGGGCTGGGAGGGACCCGGGGTTCAAAGACCAGTCCACATGAGGCAGGGGCAGCCATGTAGTTGTGCATGACTTTGTCCTCTTCATATCTAAAATCCACAAATGTGAATTATTTGCGCACTATTAGTTGTGCAGAGTCGCCCATGAGAGACTCTTTGGTTTAGCAATCTGGTTAAGGCTGAGGAGACACCAGTTCTGATTCCCACTTGGATGCAGTTTGCCAGGTGACCTTGTCATCATCTCTCAAACCTGGCCTACCTCACAGGGTTGAGGATAGAATTGGGGTGGGGAAGAGCCATGCCACCCTAATCTCCTTGGAGCTATTAATTTTCAAGAATAGATAAAAGAGAGTTATGAAACATAGCAATACTTGAGACCGATTGCTCTATTTACCTCAGAATTGTCTACACTGACTGGCAGCAGTGGCTGTTTGTGGTTTTCAATGGGATCTTCCCAGCCCTAACTGGAGATGCCATGGGGGATTGAACTTGGGACCTTCTGCATGCCAAGCAACTGTTCTGCCCCTTGAGATAGGGCCCTCCCCCCAGTGTTCAAAGCAGTTCACTTCCAGCCTGCTCCTTACAACAACCCTGTGAGGAGGAGTCGGTCTTCTCACACAGCCTAGGGGTTTCCTCACGGGTGCTGCCTTCTCTCACCCACTGCAGTCTGTGTACCCTCCCATGCTGAGCAGAGGCCTGCCAAAGCGTCACCACGTCGTCGTCTACCTCCTTTTGCTTTCCCGTGAGAGTCACCAGCAGCTCCAGGTGAGGTGGTTGGTGCCATTCAGGGTCACGGGAAGCCTAACCGGGTGTCCAAGCGACCCCCCAGAAGAGAAGATCAGAAGCACACACACACCCTCCTGGTTTTAAACTATGCACAGCATCCATATGTCAAGAATGCTCAGGTTGTGATTCCTGCATTGCAGGGGGTTGGAATAGATGACCTTTGGTGTCCCTTCCAACTCTACAATTCTGATTCGTTCTTATGGGCAAGCTCTGGTGACTCGGTGGTTTCTTGGAACTCTAGTTCAGGGAAGGAGGGAGGCCTTTTTCCACCCGAGGGCTGAATTCCCCGATGGGCAGCCTGCCTACTTCCTAGAGTGGTTTAACAATCTATCTCTCCACAGTGAACTCTGGGAGCTGCAGCTCTAGGAGGGCATTAAGGGGGTCTCCTAGGAACTCTCAGCACCCTTCACAAACTACAGCTCCCAGAATTCTTTGGGGCAATTTAAAGTGGCATCCTAGGACTTTAGATGTATGTGGCCTCTTCCTCTTACATCTAACCAGCCTTTTAACTGGGAATGGCAAACCCCAGATATTTCATGGGCAAAGATGGGGGGCATACTTTTGTACTGGCGATAACCTTGTTTACACACCCAGCTTTGCCTACTTAAAATGATCATAACAGGGTTTTTTAAAAAGAAAATGGAAATTTATTAGAATATTTCATCTCAGAGTAAACAACAGAGCGTCTTGTGGCAAAAGCTGAGAAGGATGGGGAAGCTTTTATGATCAGTGGGCCACATATCCTGACCCCTGGCGGGCAAAATTTCACAGGTGGGTGGGGCATTACCTGCCAATCGCCCTAGGTCATAGTGACATCAGGTGATGCCGCACTCTAAAGTGAAGCCCTGATTGTTGGGATTTCAAAGCCTGGTGTGGGGCTGTTTGAAAGCCCTTTTGCAAGGAGACACGGACTGCTTTCAAACCTCTGAAAACCTGTTTGCAAAAGGGCTTTTAAACAGCCCCACACTGCTCTTTGAATCGCCAGTTTTCTTTTAAAATAATATCCCACCGTACTCGACATGCCTAGAACAGTTCTGGTTGCTTGGCTGTGCTTACTTTTGTGTCACATTTCAGGTGAGACTGAAGCCCAATGAAGCAGAAGTGAGCGCTTACGCCTGGCTGGACGAGCCGGTCTTGGCATCCATCGCTGCTACGCAGAATGAGATTGGGGCCACCAGTGCGATGGCAGGTGATCTCCCACCAGCTGTCAGGTATGTGGATGGTTAGGCGATGCGGAAAACGGGGGGGGGGGGCGGGGAGCACCCCACTCTTGTTCAGCACCTAGGTCAAAAGTGTGCTGGCAGCTCTTTGGGCTAACTGGGCATCTTCTTCGCTTCCCCGAACAGCATCACCGAACTGCAGCACGGCTCAGCCAAGACAGTGGCCATCCCCACCACAATGTTCCTCAGCTCCGCTCCACTACAGGGGGAAGACGTGGAAAGAGTGAGCACCGGGACAAAGTTTGCCCTGAGGCTCTGGCTGGACACTTTAGCGGTGCAAGCAGAGTAAAGGATCAAAACTGGGAAGGAAGAGAAAGAAAGAG